CTTCGTCGATGGCCCTGCGTTTTTCTTCGTCGAAGCGGCGTAGACGCTGTTTTACCGGCTTGGAGTCTGGGTGGATTTTTAAAGCATGCTCGGCGACCTCCCTCGAGATGCCTGGCATATCCGAGGGTTTCCACGCAAAGATGTCTTTGTTATCACGGAGGAAGTCGACGAGCGTGCTTTCCTATTCGGAAGAGAGTGAAGTACCAATACGGACCCTTTTGGCCTCGGAGCCGCTGGGGTCCACGTGGACCTCCTTGGAGCCCTCTACCGGTTTGAATGATCCGGTTGTTGCTTTGGCGTCGGGTGTTTTCTCGACAACCTCCTCCCTGAGGGTGGCGAGCTCTTTGGTGGCGACGACTGCGGAGACATGATCGCAGCATTCAACTTCGCATTCGTAAGCGCGCTGGAAGGAGGTGTCGATAGTGATGACCCCGTGGGGGCCCGACATCTTCAGCTTAAGGTACGTATAGTTGGGGACGGCCATGAACTTCGCGTAACAAGGTCGTCCCAGGATGGCATGAAAAGTCGGAGGGAACCCTACTACGTCGAAGGTGAGGGTCTCAGTCCTGTAATTGGACCGATCCCCGAAAGTGATGGGCAGATCGATCTATCCCAGTGGCATGGCCTGCCTACCAGGTATGATGCCATGTAAGGGTGCTCGGATGGGACGGAGGTTCGTTCGTTCCACGCCCATCTCGTCGATCGTTTTGGCGTACATGATGTTGAGGCCGCTGCCTCCGTCCATCAGTACCTTTGTGAGCCGTTTTGGGCCGACGATCGGGTCGACGACAAGCGGGTACCTTCCGGGTGTGGGACGCGCCTGGGTGGTCGGCTCGGTCGAAGGTTATGGCGGATTCTGACCATCGAAGGAAGGCTGGCGTGGCCGGTTCGGCCGTATAGACCTTCGCGGCGTGCGACCTTTTGGTGGCATTTGGAGTCGTAGGCCGTTGATCCTCCGAAGATCATGAGGGCACCGTTTGGAGTCGGGAAGGTGTCGTCCTTCTCCTCGACGTCGTCTGTCCTGGGGGTAGGTTCCTTCCCCTGCTCTCCTTTGTTGAGGCCTCCGGTCAAGTATTTTCGCATGAGGTCACATTCGTTGTATAGATGTTTGGCCGGAAAGCGTGGTTTAGGCATGGCCCCTCGAGCATTTTTTCAAAGTGGTTTGGAGTGCCTTCGCGGGCTTCCGTCCACTTTTACGGTCGGTGGCGGCCACGAGCGAGTTGTCGCGCCGTTGCTTCTTATTCTTTCTCTTGGCGGGACGGTCGGAGGTGCCTTCATCAGTGGCCTCGTCCTGCCTTGCCTTGCCGTCGGTGCGGTCGAAGACGGCTCCGACCGCCTCCTCTCCTGAGGCGTGGCTGGTGGCGATGTCCAGGAGTTCCTTGGTGGTCCGGGGGCCCCTGCGTCCCAGCTTGTGGACGAGGGATTCGCATGTTGTCCTAGATAGGAAGGCCCCTATCACGTCGGCATCGACAACGTTAGGGAGCTCGTTGCACTGCTGGGAGAAGCACCGAATGTACCCGCGGAGGGTTTCATCGGCCTTCTGGCGGCAGTTCTTGAGGTCCCATGGGTTTCCAGGGCGTTTATACGTGCCCTAGAAGTTACCCACAAAGATCTCCATGAGATCCGCCCAACTCTGAATGGCGTTGGACGGTAGGTGCTCCAACCACGCTCGTGCCAAATCGGCCAAGAATAGCAGGAGATTGCGAATAATGAAATTGTCATCACTCGCACCACCGGCTTGGCAGGCAAGCCGATAGTCTTCAAGCCAAAGCCCGGGGTTCGATTCTCTAGAATATTTTAGGATATTGGTGGGCGGTCGGTACCTCGGGGGGAACGCAGCGTTGAGGATGTGTCGGCCGAAGGCCCGAGGGCCAGGCAGGCTGGGACTCGGGCTCCGGTCCTCACCGCTGTCGTAGCGTCCGCCGCGTCGTGGATGATAGCCGCGACGGGCTTCTTCTCTTTCGTCGCCGTGGGTGCGCCTGCGGGCGTCGATGGTGCTGCGCATGTCACGGCTGTGGCCGAGACGTTGATGTACCGGGATAGCGGAGCGCTGCCTATTGCCCGACGGCGTCTGGTGAACGGACGCGTCCTTGGCGGGACGTACCGAGGGCGTGCGCTGGCTGGTGTCGGGCTCACGTCGTCGAGACAACGAGCTTTCCGCCTGTTGCGCCGCCGCACGTTCGAGCAACGTGTGAATTTCTCGACGGGCGCGGCGATCCTCGGACGTCGCGGCCTCCGGAAGGCCGTGTAGCAAGGTCGTTGCTGCGGCGATGTTCTGGCTTGCCCAAGCGAAATGAGGGAGAGTCCCATCATCGGTGAGGATCCTCCGATGCACATCACGAGCCGAGGTGCGTGCGTGCCCACCGTCTCCGCGACGCTTGATCTCCTCCTCGATGTTTCGGTATTCTCGGACAAGCTGTTGCCCGGCGTCATCGATCTCCAGCTTTCATGCTCTTAGCTGCTCCATTCTTACGTGAGATGGAGCCACCGTCTCCGCCTTGATCCTGGCATCGGGGTTGCCTGTTGGGGTTGTTTCTTCTCCGGAGACGCTTTGGACGTGTCCCTCGGGGGTTTGCATCATGAAGCATTCCCGGGAAGGGTGATGGCTCCCCTTGCTGGAGTCGGAGCTGGAGGACGATTCTAGTTCCTCCGCGAGGAGCCCGTAGAGTGTCTCCGGATTGTGTTCGACTACCCCCACGAACTCGCTGTCGGTAGGCGACTGAACCATGCGTAGTGACAGAAGGTGGCCGGCGGTCGCCGCGGCGTTGCGGAGACCGAATGGAAGCGCTGTCGGGGCGCTTTGTACAGGGCCTTCCGGAAACAGGATGATGCTGCACGGGGGCTCCCTAGATAACTGGGGTCCAAGGGAGTCGCCCCGCAGGCCCTCAAGCCTCAGATGGCTGGGGTTGATGGAAGGGAGAGGCTGTGCGGCCGTGTGGGTCAGCATCAGTTCTCCTCCTAGTGTGACGATAAAATCTAGGTCGCCGAAGCGCACATGTGCGCCCGGGGCCTAGCTGATTGCGTAGGTGGCCATCCGAGGCCTGGTTTAGAACGCGCAAGCCCCCTACCTGGCACGTCAACTATCGGTGTTTCGTATAAGCACCGGCAAGTAAATTTATAGTAATGCGCGTTAGGCTCGGATGGTGCGCTAAAGGACACAAGATTTATACTGGTTTGGGCTGAATATCCCTACGTCCAGTTTGTTGCTGCTCGTGTTATTAGCACCGTGAATGGTTCATAGTAGGGAATATAAACGATCGAGAGAGGGACAAGTCCCAAGTCTCTGATGGAAGGGTCGAAAGGAAGCCAAGAGCTCGATGATAGCTTGTCTAGGCGTGTTTGTTGCGTTGTTTTTCTCGTCCCCCTCGCTGGAGGAAGCGCATCCCCTTTTATAGATGAAGGGGACGGCTTTACAAGGGCCAGGGCTTAGAATCCGTGCTCTACCTAGCCTCCTTACTCATTCTGATGGGTGCGAAAGGAAGATAAGCGCCTACAATACAGTCGATGCTTCAGAGAATGTCGGGATGGTTACTGAGAATAGTGCCCCGCGCAGGTATGGGCTCGAGAATATACTGATGGTTTTGACTTATGAACCTCGCTTGACTTTTGCTCCGCACGCCTATACGGCTCTCTATGAGTCTCTGTCGGAGGGACGCGGAGTCGAGGTCGGAGTAGCGCCTGTGGGCAAGGTCCTACGTTTGGTGGACCCGAGGGGTCGGGAAGTGGGCGCGCGCTCCTTAGGTCCATAATGTGGTGACGGCATGTCCGTCATTTGTGGAGATTACAAATCCTTTTTCTCGGAGTGTAGCGGTTGTCGGTATCTTCATCGGGTCCGTGTCCCTGAGTCAAGGCGGCGCCTACAACTCTACTGTAGGCGAGGAGTACGCTACCGCAATACCTTTTTGGGCTCATGGCGGCCGGAGGGTCTAAAGCAGCACTGTCCGATCGTTCTCTGGCGGTAAGACTTTTCCTACCGGGCGCAGGTATGGTCCTTGAAGCCGTGGTTGACCCGAACGTCTTGTCTTTAATGCACCCATCATCATGAGAGAACGGGAGAGAAGTTATCAGGTAAGATAAAACCAGCCTTTGGACATCGAACGGGGCGAGGTTCGCCCTCGGTCGTCGAGCGAGGCGAAGCCCAGTCCTTATCCCTTGGGCATGACCGAACCAACCCCTCGGGGGTCGGGCGAGGTGGAGTGTATCCTCGGCCTCAAGGAAGGGAGACTAGCCATCGCCCCTCGGGAGGCTCGGCCCAAAGGCGGCAGGCGAGACGGAGTAGGCCCAAAGGCCGGCGAGAGCGGGTCGGCCCAAAGGCGGGCGAGGAGGCCTTGCCCTTTACCCTCGGGTGAGGCGGATTGGCCCAAAGGCGTCGGGCGAGACGGAACCTAACTTTCGTCATTCGGGCAAGGAACGCAGCGGCACCCTTGCCCGTCCAGAAGTTTTTAACGTTCGATGGTCATTGGTTCTACCTTCTGGGGTACCCTGGTATTAGGTCCCCGACAAATATAAACAACTAATCTCTCAGGAAAGAAAGTCCACGATTGCCTTTCTGCTGATTTGAGCAAGGAGGTGGACAAGTGGTGAATACACATTCTATGTGAGAAAAAATAGATCTTGGCGCAGAGAGCAACATTATGCTCATTGTTGTGACAGAAACCCCAAAACTCTGAACGGAACTACAAAAGATTGTAACAAAATAATTACCTTATCTGTATTTACTACTCTAAAAATTGTAGTATTTTAGTGCCACGAAATATGATATGGTTCTTATCCCTCTTTATAGATTGCATATCCTTAGGACCACGTCCAGCAATTGAATCCCGTCAGTAGATGTATGGTCAGAGCTAGCCTTTGAAACCACAAATAATTATACATGTAATTTCACTCGAACTTGAGATCTTTGAAACCACAAATAATTTTTGAAGTAATTTCCATAGTAGTTACACATTCCACCCCAACTGAGCCCTGAAGAAGGACCAGACGTCCAGACCACATCTCACCTAGAGCTCGCCTACATCTCCTCCCACTGAGCCCCGTGGCAATGGGCATGACTTCATCCCTTGTCCCCTGCAGCACACCCACGCGGCCACCACAGCCACTGGATCATATAAGAACTCCATCAGGGAATCAAGATCTAAGGGAGAAAAATTCTTACCTGAGAGGACAACACACCAATAAAAAAAAGTAAAAAAAATTTAGAGAAAAGGAAATTTCCACTCACTGTTATGCATCACAACACAACTAAAACCAGTGTTTCATATCCCTCCGATCCCCAATATATATACAAGGCACTGAGCTTTTAACTGACCAATGCTGAACATGGCCATTCTTGTGCCCAACTTTGACATGATGAGCACCGACGCTTCGAAAACGCTGGGCAGCTCGATGTGCAACCTGTTTAGTTTCAGGAGAGCAAAGGCAGTATTCCATCTTCAGACATTCAGAATAATGTGAACATGGCGTAATCCCACATTACAGAGATCTCCACATTACACATGCATGAACCAAAACTCATGGTGGAGCAGATTCAGAAAAGCATCAACTGGAGGCAAGAGGGGTTTCACGAACAGGCCACGAGTGGGAGAGAGAGGAAGGGAGGGAGGAAATGCTGGACCTGGACCGGAGTTTGGTGGCCGTGGAGCCGCAGCCGCCGGCAAGGCCGACTGCCGCATTCATGTGCACAGCCGCCGGCTGGGGCTGGCAGCGCATCCGCGGATGCTGCCGCTAGGGGAGAGGAAGAGGCGACGTAGCGATCTGCGCGCACAGCCGCCACCAGGGCCGAGCGTCGCGCCCGCATGTCTCCGCCTCCAACGGTCCCGACGCTCCGGCAGTCCCCCAGCAGCCCACGCCCGGCGGCCATGGCCGCGGCAGCGAGGGACGCGGCAGCCCGCGTCGGGGAAGGATCCCACGCGCGAGGTGGAATCGGCGGCATCAAAGGAGGCGGCCCGATGTTTCTTTTTTTCGCGGAAGAGAAGAAAATGGGGTCACGAATCGAACCCTCGCCGCCCGAGGGCCGCGCCACGGGTGCGGGTGCGGGTGCGGGTGCAGGTGTGGGGAGGTGCGTTTGAAGCCTGCGTGAGAAGCCTCACACGTCAAATCGTGGCCATCGAATTTAGTTTAGTTGTTTTATTAGGCCTGGTTTAGTTCGCGAAATTTGGATTTATTAGACCTTCGTTTTTATTTAATAGTTCCAAACATTACTAATTAGGCTTAAAACGTTTATGCAATTTCCCACCAAACCGCGTGCAATTAGTTTTTTTTTTATCTACATTTAATCTCCATACTAGCCGTAAACATTCGATGTGGCGATCAGAAGCAACTTTTTTGGATTTTGGGGGTGAACTAAACAAGGGCTTAGTCTTTAATTTTAATAAAGACGAATTTATGTATGCGTTCTACTAGATATACAATGGTTAGAGACTCTCAGCGGGAGGCGTTTTTCTGGAGGACCTAATATAGTTTTAATTAGTCCATTATAGTAGAGATTTGTTGGAAAATATTTTTTTCGTCATAATCTCTGTCCCTGTAAATTAGGAAGGGCATAAACAGGCTTTTGGAGTTGCTCTTAGAGAGTGAGTTTAAGAGAGACTTTTAGAAATGCTCTTTATTGATAGCAAAACTCAAGTTTGTCAAGATCTATGAGCTCAGAATCTTGAAGTGTTCATAAAAGTAGAATGTGTGTCTGTGTATTTAGAGTAACTCCAAGGGTCTTTTTATATTCTTTCTAATTGATAAAAAATAAAGATTTTATTGAAAAAAATACTCTCCAATAGTTTTTTATTAGATCCCTAAATATAGCCACCATCTATCCCGATTTCTAAGTGCGCACAAGATATAGAGAATGTGTTGAAGGATGAAAAGATAAAAGAGTGATTTTTATTTAAATGGTTTTCTAATTTATGTTTTACTGAAAGGAAGATTCTTGAAGGATGAGTGTAAGACTTTAAGTGTCCCAAAGGATGAGTATATTGCCAAATTGAGAAATTACTTGAACATGCAAAACTAATAAACTATAGTTGTCTCGCAATATGCACCCAAATATTTCACTGTTTTATTAAAGATGGGACGGTGGATTTGATTTTGCATCCTACAGAAGTTGCTACGAGTACTTCAGTTGAGTCGATGCCATACCTTTTGCAAGCCCATATTGCTAGTGACCGGAGGGCCCTTGAATAGGCTGGAATTGTTTTTTTTTTTTTGAATGGACCGATTTGGTTTCCACTTCATCGGTGGAGGTGGGCTCGCTTGTACCCTGATTGGATTGGGCTGGGTAACACCAGGAAACTAGGGGATATATGCCCGGATCGGGTTCGACGTTCGCGAACCTGACGCCGTGACGCGTGACGCGTCGAACGAACCCCACCGTGAAGAAACGGCCGTGCGGCCCGTGCCGTCGCCCTTCCTTCCTTTCGTCGCTCTCTCTCTCTCGGCGACGACTGGGCGACCGCTGCCGCCGCCCTACTCCAGGTGCCCAGGTTTCCATCGGGCTCTCGGCCAGATTTTCTTCCGGCTCTCCGCCAGCGACGAACACCACCAGGTACGCCCACCCCGTCTCTTCCCTTCCTGCTGCGCGGAACCGAGCACCCAAACCCTAACTCAAGCTATATGTATTTGGATCTCTATATTTTGCACACTACTACCTTCGATTTTTTTTGGCAAGAAATATCGGGTGTACATGTGTACACCCATGTCCTTTACTGAGTCCGCCCCTGACGCGTTCTTGAACCGAGCACTGAATAATTGATTAGTTATTTCTCAGTGTGAACCATGTAGTTTACTTAGAAATTTATTGGTATATCACCTCAATTGCAATGTCAAGCCTGGTGCATGTGCTGTGTGGAAGCCACGCTGTATGTGCCAGTATATCTTCCTGCCTAGTTATCTGTATATTTCAGGACGCTGTTGCCTTTTGCTATACTGTTATATCTTGGTGGTTTGCGGAGGTAATAATTCGTAAGAAGGAACATCATATGAACTAACTGAGCTGTAATCTGCAGGAATGGGCCTGTGGACGTTGCTGGAGGGTTTTTTGCTTCTTGCAAATGCGTTGGCTATATTGAATGAAGACCGCTTTCTCGCTCCCAGGGGATGGAGCATGTCTGAAGTATCAGGAAATGGGCAAACGAAGTCGTTGAAGGGCCAGATTGTGGGGCTTATCTATGCTACACAATTTCTGAGGATGCCCTTAATAGCACTCAATGTTCTGATCATTGTTGTGAAACTGGTGTCTGGCTGAGGCTCATTGTCTGGTTTGTGCTGTTGTGTTGGATTGATATCTGTTCCAGCATTATGTAAAAGTTAGTTATACTCAAAATTGCTCTGGAAATATGTTCATTTTTACTAATGTGAATTTCTGTTATTTCTTCTAGTAAATTAATTCTGGTCAGAAAATGGTTGTAAACATTTACACTATCAAAGCATTGTGTGACGGTGTTATTAATTTGTTCAAAATATTTCTTATGCAGTTTGTGAGGTCATCTTTCCTTGGTTTTACTTCTGAATTGCTAGCACATTTGTTGCTTATTACTAGTGTATTTTATGGTTGCTTCCTTAAAGGCTTTGTTGTTGTTGTTCCTCATCATTGTAGTGCTCAGTGTTATTTGATGGTTGAATACTGCTTACGGCTAGAGGCATTTGTCTCCTAGCCCAGGTTGAGTGGTGATGCAAACCGACCTTCTGGCTATTCATCCTTGTATGCATTGTACCATATATCTACCAGTTGCAGATCCTTTTGTTTGGAAACTATTCTGGGTCCAATCTGGTGTTAATCCATATCCAGCCCCTTCAATATTCAGAAATTCTGGCAGTACCTTTCGATACTACAGATGGCGATAAAAAAAAAAGGGGGCAGCCCCAGTGCACGTAGCTCCCGCTTGCGCAGGGTTAGGGGAAGGGTCCGACCACTTGGGTCTTTTGTACGCAGCCTTTCCCTGCATTTCTGCAAGAGGCTGTTTCCAGGACTTGAACCCGTGACCTCATGGTCACAAGGCAGCAGCTTTACCACTGCGCCAAGGCTCCCCTTCTACAGATGGCGATCAAGTGGAGGAAAAAGAACAACGATTGGTTCTCCCATTTCTGTCGCAATTTGAAGAGAGGTTTGATTTATGTTCGTATGTCAGGTATGCAGCATCAGTAGTTCAGTACAGACATCGAATATCTGTGGTGGCGTCAATTGAACACCTTAATGATGTTCCAACATATATTTCTTTTCATCACTAAATTTAATAGTTGTATAGTTTTCCTATACAATGTTGACATAAATGATTGGCTCATTTGGCACCATTTCTCTATTAACTTATTATGATCATGCACATGGAAAATATCATGCGTAGATAGTATGAGTTGTCTCTGTACAATTGTCCCCTCTCAGGGGAAGCTGCATTCATCATAGCACATGTTTCTTTCCATCACATTGTATGATGACTAATATTAACGTGCTTGAATTGCAGTGCCCCTCTTAGTGTAGACACTTTACACTTTTGTTAAGGTGAGGTCCACACCAAGCTCTGGCTCCACAATGAGTTTCAGTGTTGGAGAATGCTGGTAGTGTGGTGAGAGCTTCAAAACAAACTTGGAGACAATAAGAGAGATGAGGATCTTGAGCTCAGCCATTGCAAATCCTTGCCCTAGGCAGGTTCGGGCCCCAGCACCAAATGGCAAGTATGAATGTAGCTGGGGCCGAACATCAGAGAAGCGCTCTGGGTTGAACTCTTTCACATCAGGGCCCCATAGCTCGGGGTCAAGATGCATTGTGGAGACAGGGATGTAGATGTTGACACCTTTTGGTATATGTACGCCACCGAGCTTCAGTTCCTGGAGGGCCTGCCTCGATACAAAGGCACCTGCTGGGTACAACCTCAAGGTTTCCTGGATCACCATTGTCAACTAAATTGGCAAACAAACAGGAAGTTAGTGGTCTGTTCTAACAAAATTGAGGCAGCGCTTCTTACAACTATTATGAGATGGTAACTGGATAAGAGCACACATTTTTCATCTTCTGAAGTGACCGTGAGTCTACTGGCTGGCCTCTGCAGACTTCATGCACCTCTGCTCGTACTCGATCCTGCCATTCTGGGTGCAGTCCAAGGAGCATTAGACACCAAGCAGCTGTAACAGCTGTGCTCTCATGCCCTGCAAAATATATGCTCTTGCAGTTATCCACTATAAAGTTCTCTGCCTCGGCAATGCCCACCCTACTGGTGCTTGCACTGTGAAGAATTGCACTCAGTAAGTTCCTGTCTTCTCCACTTTCCTTTACGATTTCAAGAATTAGTTTGCGGACTTGTTTGTGAAGCTCCCATGCCTGCTTGTTCCTCATTGAAGGAAAGAACCTGCAAGCATTTAAAACTTTATTTTTACAATTTATAGGTCTGTTCAATCAATGTGTTGCCTTGGATAAAAAATAGTTCCTTTTTTTGTTCATTCACAAAATCAAATATGTACTTGTGATATACGAGAAGTTCGTTTACCCCCTAACCTTAGGCCAGTCATTTCAGCTAGCACATTTGGCTTGGACACAGCCTGCTGGAGTTTTCTGATCTTCATAAATATTTCCTTTCCTTTGATGTAGCTGCTTCCAAAGCATGTTCTAGAGATCACATCTGCAGAGTAAGCCCTAATGTCATCGTCGATCTTAATGTCTGTGATCCCACCATTTCTATCAACTCTCTCTTCCCATGACTTGAGCAGTGGTTGCGCAGAATCGACCATCAGATCCACCATGCCCTGTGTATGAGTAAGAGTTACATTAACATGTCAAAATGCATGGCCACTGCCTGCTGTTGTCAAACCTCTAAACTCTAATTTATTGAGCAATGCCCACTGTAAGAAAAGAATGTTTCCTTTTACAAAAAAAAAAAAAAAAGAAGTTCCCTTGGATCTAACGAACCGAATGACTGCATTGTACTCCCTCCATTCTAAATTGTATGTCACTCTATCATTTTTAGATACATAGTTTTTACTGTATATCTAAGCATATTTTATCATAGCAAAAGTTACGTATCTAGAAAAACTAAAACAACTTACAATTTGTAACGGAGGGAGTATAGCTTTGGCAAAATGCAGAGTTCCTAAAAGTGGTCCTGACCCACACTATATAGATGGATCAGAATGTTGTAGTTTTGCTGTTGGGAGTGGTCCTAGTTAGAATCTTTGTCACACGATATCTAGCTGGATCAGAATGTTGCAGTTTTTCATGCCAGCTCTCATACTGAACTGTCATTCTGAATTATGTTTGCAAATAAGCGGCCACATAGACCCACTACTTAATTGCTGAGACCCACAGAGCACTAACAGCTTTCAATGCTCTTTCATCAATCTGAAACCTCTGAAGTTTATCTGCAGATGCCCTTTAAATCGATTTCTGCAATGTCTCTTTGAGCAAAAATGCCAGGATTTGCCAGCTATGGAGTGAACAAGTGAGCAGCATCTGAAACATGCCCCGGGCTTCCAGCGTTTTTTTTATTTGTCATATTGGTTGCCTGGTCGGTTTGCGTAGCTTTGTTTACATAGTACACAATTTTATGGTACAGCACATTGAGATCACTACTAGTAATTATTGTTGGGAGTGTGTTGCTCATTGCCTCGTACCTTGACCTTGTCCAGGAAGAACTCTGGGGCGATGATCTTCCTCTGGTGCAGCCAGGCCTCACCGTTGGACTTGAGGATGCCCCCGCCGAAGAGGGGCTCATGTGTCGCCTTGAGGTAGGAGCTCTTGCCGAGGTCCATCGACACGCAGAGGATGATGTCCCGGACCACGTCGGGCCGGCTCACGTGAAGGAATACGACGTTCCCCATGGAGTAAGTGAATATGGGACCTGCATTTCAATGAAACCGGACAGCTTAAGCTCAGCAGGCTCGTTATAAGTCTCGACGGTCACTGTCCAGTTGATGAATGAACTGTCATGGTGTATTGTAGGTTAACAGAAATCGCGTATGGATCCTCTCGTCAAGTAGTAAATGGGCGTGGACAGGACTCCAGCCACGGAAAATAAACACATTCGACAGGTCATGGTCATGGTACAGTTACTGGTTTATCATGAATTCATGAGATAAATTTTCCCTGTCCCTCATGTTTACGCACTTGCATGTGCTTGTGAGGAATACAGTGACGATGACTGAACTTATCATGTTTATGCACTTGCATGTGCTTGACGTCACTAATCTCATTAGCACCAGCTTTATGCACTCTGAATGTTGTTTTTTACTTACAGATCGATCCGAAAAATATGCCACTTCATGAAGTGTAGATAGCTAACGTTGGGGAACACATCATTTACCAGGTGCATGGTCGTACCATGCTTGCTGGAAAAACAACAACACCTCATTTCAATTTCAAGGTTCACTGCAATAAGGTAATAACCTGAACATCGTCAGTTGTTATTTTTGTGCCTTATTAGTGAATAGAGGGGCAAAGAAACTAAATATTTTTTACTGAAATGTCAGCTTATTGTATAAGAACAGGCTTTTGTCACAGTATACATGTTTTAACATGCCATTTATCTTCCAGCATTTGATATGCCAATTTCCTGTAGGTTGTCTTTTGCCTATGCATATCCTGTCTATTAATGCTACGAGACTTCTGAGCTCAACAAACCAGAGATTAAGCAGCTCATATTTTGGTGTCACTATTCTAAGGTGTTTCAGTAAATTATGTGGTTGCAACAATCTGCCAGATTTTAGTTTTGTTTGCTGTGCCTATGATTTTAGTTGCCCTGTTGACATTTTTTGAAGAGATTTAGAGATTTTACAAGCTGTCACTGCGTAAGGTTGTGATTTCCTGTAGATCATTGACGAGACTCTTAGCATTGTGTGTCCTCTTGTTGCAGGCTACCGTTTTACTTGGAAGCAAAGCTGACGTTCTCTGTATAATTGTGGTACCCTAAGACAAAGGTGCTTAGTTTGTCCTTTGCTTCTATCTTACAGTTTCTTTTAAGCATAGGACTGATGCGTGCTTTCGGTATAGGGAACTACATCTGTTTATGGGATTTCCTTTAAGCCAGATATTTATCAGCATGACAATGAAATCGACTGGGACCTCCTTCAGTTGACAGCTCGAGCCACTGATATGGTCATCATTTATTTCCAGAAGGCTGCTTCCGTACGACAGAAACACTCTTTTTATCCTTTTAGAATCCTTTACCTATACAACATATTTTGCATGCAGACAGACTGGCTTTTCCTAAATTTTAATATCCCATTACAAGTAGGTCACAAAAAAATGTTGAGCGCGTCCGC